TCATTTCAGCATCATGTAGGCCATTGTCTTTCACATCCAAATTTTCATCATCAGTTGACTCTTCACTCTCACTATTTTCAATGTGAGAATCTGCTGAAATAGAGCATCTATGTAGATTTTCATCTGAAATTACATACAGAACAGCTAAGCCCACAACTATAACTATAGAAAGAAATATAATAATCTCCCTAAGATACAAACACCGACAGATTTTACAAGATCTGAATCCTAAAGTTACACTGTCATGCCCCGATAATTGGCTAAGAAAAAAAAGAAAGCAGAAGGAAAAGAAATGGCAGTAAAGGCCTCACAAAAGAGATAGGAAATCATGGCTGATCTCCATTAAGCTTTTTTTAGTTATTTTTAATTAGGGAAAAACAATACTTAGGACAGAAGTTTGAAACAAATTTTATACAGGTCAGAAATTTACAGTTTAGAAGCTTAATAATTTTATTAATTAGGATGTCAAAATGATAAACTAAAAATTCCTATGATTAGGAAACTTTTATATATTTAGGAAGTTTTTACATCTGTTAAAATAGGTAAACCTAGTCCAGAGCTCTCCTATAAACATGCAATCAGACTGCAAAAATAAAAGAATCAGAGAATCGTTGTACCGTATGTTAACTCTAAACATCAGCGGGTTCTTTCTAATGAACCATAAATCTTAATTCCACATATCCCAACCATAACCTGATCCTAAAAACGGGACTTTGTATTTATCTGTTTAGATAATTCAACTATATTTAGGCTCATACTTCAAACGAAAAGGAATATCTGAATAACTTCTTTCTATATGGGACATAACTGATTCCTCGTTAGGCTATTAGACTAACCAACCCAGGTATGAAGTTCAAGTTAAAGACATCATTTTATATGTTCATAAGGAATGGAGTATATTATCTCCAGGATTGAAAAATATTATCAAAGATATGAAGCCAGAATATATTTAATCAAAGGTAAAACACCGTCTCTCACATCGAAAATATTGTCATACTCCTCCAAAAGAATTGTTATAATGGCTTGAGCATTATTAGCAGCATTTGCAGCAGCAAGAAGCTGAGCAGAATTGTCTCCATTAACATCAAAGTCATCTTCCAATTCACATTCCCCAGCTAACAGCGGGCGTAAAAGTAAAGGTGCCATGCAAACAGCTACAGCAGATGGAGTCATTCGATTTTCATGAGCATGTGATGAGATAGTATGCATCATCTTCAGAATTCTGCAAAATTGGAAGCCAAGTAAAATTATTAGGCTTAACCATGCCTAGAATGGATCTGGATCAAACTTGCTAAAAGATTTTAAACAATTTTGATTCATGAAATAAGCAGATTGCAGTGACATTCAAACTTGTTACAAACAAAAAACTACTACCAAGTGCAAAAGCACCAGTCAATTTAACTGATTATTCATGCCAAGCATACAATATTCCTTAATGACATGTCTCTTTATAACAGACAAGCAGGATATCTACTATCAGGAAAGAGAAATATGGAAGACAATTACCTCTGTAACAAACGCCTGTTTGGTTCAGGAAATGTTTCCAGTATTGCTGAGCGCATTGCACTTATCCGAGCTTCCATCCGATCAATTTCTTACCAAAGAAATTAGAAAATAAAAAGGATCAACCTTAAACCATGCATGCACAGAATAATCCACAAATGGAAATGGCACAAATCTTGAATACTAAAAAAATAGTTTGGAGCGAAAAACTTCTCAAATACAAGAATCCATGTTTCATACATTATGAATATTGGTTACTTATCACAGCTGACTGGACATAACACTTTAGGAGTGAACTTGGCCCCATAAATAGAGAAAAGAAGGCTGTAACTCCAACAGAAACCTATGAAAATGAACATAAGTTGAAACTGAAACAAAAATTTAAAATTCATTTATCCAAAATGCTTCTTATTTATTTGGGATGTATTATCTACATAAAACCTGGTAGAGCATCCATCTTAAATCAATTCCAAAACAACCGAGCAATGACAACAGTTGAGGAGATTGGGAACTCAAAGGACGCCAACACATTTAAAATCATGAACCAGAATATAAAGATCATAATGGTACTAAAATATGTGATACTGGATCCAACAAAACAAAACTGGATTCTGAAAACATGTCTACTGTTTTATATCTTAAGAAATAGAAAGTACATCTGGGAAAAGTCTACCTGGAAAAAACAAATTTAAGACAAGGTTGAACTTACTGTAAGCCTCCAACAGAGCAGTGCAGCAGGATGCTGGTACAGGAGATGAGGGTAATTCCCTCAGAACATGCTGCAGTTCTAACTTATTAGCTAAATATTGAAGTAATTTGTTGAACTGAAAACCATAAATGCAACAGTTGGATAGCCAAATACCTTAACACAATCTCCAACAACATGAGCATCCTCATCAGACTCAAATTCAATCTTGCCTAGAATAATCAGAAGGAAAGATACATAAGCTATTGCCTATAGCCTCAGTTAGGCGAAGTTTACACATCAAATTCTAAAGACAGGTGAATATATAAAGAAACCGCATTATCCTTAATTAAGTTCCCCATTACCCAGAGAGGGAATCAAAAAGAACAAAGCAATTTAATAGGATAGATACCTTGCTCATATTCTTGAACTCTGCGCTCAACTTCCTCAACACCCGCCGACTGTCGTAAAATCCCTTCAACCTTTGTTCCTATTGGGAATTTAAGTTCAATTAGCCCAAAAAAATTATTAATTAAATTTCATTTTCCTTGTATCTATCTCATATAGTCAGTTCAACTTCTAACTTCTGTTCCAAAAAAAAAAAGAAAAGAAAAACAAAGTCTTTAGTTGATAACTTGAAAACACTACTATAGAAATGGGAGGGTAAAAGCTTTAGTTCCAAAAGAACACAATGCTTTCTTTTCATTCTATATAACTTAAAACCATAAGGGATAGCGCTCAAATTAGCATAATATAAATTTTAGACTATTAAATGTATTTAAACCAATTATATTTAATAAGTTAAATGTAAGCATTTTTTACAAAACCATAATAATGTGTCAATTGATAATAATTTGGTTTAATTTTATAAATCATCATGAACTTCATGTAATATCCAAATCTGACATGAAACGAGATCGAAGGATGATAAAACAAAGAAAAACTGGGTCGTTTTCCTATTGAAATTACCTGTTCCTTTTGATAAGAGATTCAAGAGCTCAACAAACCATGAAGTGAATAGGAATTATATTGGAAAAAGGCTCTAGTTTCCACAATATCAAAAAAAAAAGATATATCACATATGTGCAGGTGTATACATCAGAAGAGCTAAGCAGCTCAGCAACAATTTTAAATCATTGCTTACCAAATTTCTCAAGAAATCGAAGAGCTTTCTCAAGGAATGATGGACCTCCGTCAATATCTTCAAGAGCAAGCAAAATTGGTCTTCCAACAACCAAAGATTTAACAGGACGCTTATCCCTCCCTGAGTGAGAAAGTTCTAGCGGGTATTAATTATGGAGAAAAGGTGAGGAATTGGCAGTAATTGAATGAAGCTCTAGAATGAACATTGAAGTAGTAGAAATGAACAAGAACAAACAGTGATGGAAAGATCCTTCAATTGCATCATTGGTATCATTCCGAAAAATCCCATTGTGGCCCATGACAAGAGCAGCACTAGGTGCTTGGGCAAGGGCATGTTCAAGGGCTGTCTTCCACTCATACAAATCATCTGATGTCTCAGCCTGGTTGACTCAAAAGTAAAACATAGCGAGAAGCAAAAAAGACCCTTATCAATAATTAGTTTGTCATACAGGACCACCAGGAGCAGAGATAACAAAAACCATTGTCTACAATACAGACCCTCCAAAAAAGCAAAATCAACACCAGAAAGAGAACAATTTTAAAAATATTCAATTATCAAATGAAGCACCTTAAGGGTGAAAGCTCGCCCATCACGTCCATCAGGAAACAACACAGTCAACAATTTTTTATCTTCTCTAACAACCACGCTGCAAAAAGAGTTGGTCAATTATAAGCCAGATTACTTGGAACATTGTTGTAAGCAAGACCCAATCACACTTTAATACCTCCCAGAGTTGTTCAAGTCAATGCCACCCAAAGTAAGATTAACTTCACCACCTTTTTGCGGTAGCGCACTCTGCATGATCACCAAATTAATAAGCATTTAATTCAATAAATTATATCTAACAAATTAGATAAGGTTCAACTTCTTTACTTGACATGGAGAAATGATAAGTAAGATCATCAAGACACAATAGTCCCAACAAGGCACCAGGCATAACGAACAAACATCATTCCTAGTTGAATTTGCAAGCTCACACCGTGCGAGGAGACTAAAGATCCATCATATAATGAGAAGAAAAGTAACGCAAACTTGAAAGAACAAAGTTCTTTCCTCCAACTATTTATAAATCTGACGGAAATGTTTGGAAAGACAAGAACTCATAATAAAAAGTAATTTCTGCTGAGGCTTGGAAGTGAAAAATATACTTCTGTGTGTGTGTATCTATGCCTCTGTTTGTGCATGTTAGAGTGACATGCAATATGAGAAATTTCACTACATAGATTCTACATTTAGCTGTAATTGACTGTTCTATTTAACTTTTTTTTTCTCTGCAATACAAGAAAAAAATTGAAGCAGGCATTAATTCAAGTTCAATGGCACCCTCCTCTAACAAGCTTTGTGATGCCCAGTCCAGTTGCCAATACAGATAAGGACACTCATTGTCATTTTAGTAGACCAGGAACCTCAACAAAGACCATTTGCAACTTGTAAGTAAATAAACTATTATATGGAAAAAATGAAGTGGAATATTAAAAATAAGAATGAATAAACTATTGCATGGTAAAAAAAAAAAAGAGAAGAAGAGAACTAATACTAACAGGATCATTTTTAAAGAAAACCAACGAAGTGCGTGTCAGAATAAACCAACGCTTCTTCCACGATTTCCAACCTATTCCTGCAGCAAATTCAACATCATTGTACGTGGGTACAGCATAAATAGAGGTTTTCGAAATTGTTTAGTGAAGAAGGAAAAAAAGGAGAAAAAGTCATATTTCTCTCAATTTCAACATGGATCAAATGGAATAACAAATTAAGATTTTCTTCCTCACAATAAATTCAAAAAAATCTAGACATGTCAGGATTCTCAAATTGGTGTTACCACCATCTCACAAGGAAACGAATCACACATCAAAGGTTTTAAATTAAATGAACCACACATAATATACTCGGGAAAGCAAGAAAGATTTTCAAAGATGTGACCATATTAGGAAGCAATTCCCATGACAATCATGTCTATTAATTGAACTATACATGAGGAAAATTACATAAATCCATGGAGTGGGACAAATTTAGCAGGAAAAAAGAAACTCTCACTAACCTTTCGAGGATATGAAAAGCGGGCCACTCTTGAAAACCTGTCAAAATTATTGCATTTTCATAAGCCACAACTTGGTTGCCATCTGCCAAGAGCAGATGAGAAAGTAATTCATAACTTCATGCACTAACAGTCCATTTGGATCAATTGATATTCAGTTTCTACATTATTCCTTTTCTTAGTTCCAATATATTTTTAGATGTAAAATTGAATAACAATCTTTGGGTTTTAATCAATTCCCCCTACCTAGCCAAGCAGGAATCAAGAAATCAAGGCAAGAGTAGAATTAATTCAATACAAAAATTATGATCTAGTTCTACATATCAAGAATATTATAGAACTTAAATAAAGATATATAATAAGAATTGACCAAAAGGACCATAATAACCATGGAATAAAAACAGGATGAGCTACAAGCATAAAATTGTCAATGAAGTCCTTTATAAAACAAGTCCTACGTCACGTCAAATTGTCTAATTTCTTTGTAGAACTCCAGCAACCAAATTTCTCCAATTAGTCAAACATAAAGCCCAAAATCCAAGGACAAGTGCATCAAACTCTTAAACACCTCTAGTATGGCAGATGTTAGCACATATGCAGTTAAACCTAGCCAGCAACTCTTATTACAATAATCTAATTCAGAGCTAAAATGTATTGTGCAATTTTTGAAACCTTAAGATCTTCCTTATAATAATTACACTGAACTACAAAAGTTTTCCTTCTCACTATTGATGTTTGTAGATATATAGATGCCTGCTTGATGATGAGCTTGAGAAAATTTTATCATTCATCTTCAAAAAGTTATGGAAGGCAAAATCCCAAAACTTCAATGGAGTCTGCTAAGAGTAGAAGGGCCCTAGAGTACTTTGATAGTTCTTTCTATTCTTGAAATGAAATATCCAAAAATAATCGACAGAGAATAATAATAATTTAGAGTAATAAAAAATAGGGATGGAGGGGTGCTACTTTTATATTGTTTTCTATGTATGTGAATTTTACTTGTATGTAGAATAGATAAAATCAAATATTGATTTGTCATTCAATCATTCATAAATATAAGTCCTAAATAGCTAAAAATATATAATTTTTGGGAACTTTGTGTCTAGATTAAGCATTCCAATGGGATAAAAACTTCGGCAAAGTTTAGGTTCCAATTAAATCATTATCACTAATTCCAACACTGAATCACGAAACCCTAACTGTTCAGCTTAAGCCTCAAATTACAAGGATAATTAAATACTTTGTTTGATTACAAATCAAATTGCTTGCTGAAGAAAGATACTAAGGTCATCAAAAGGGGAAATATGAGAAGTAAAACCACACTCCTAGAATTTTCATAAATTCTACTTGAGACCCAATAAACACCAGAGCCACCAGTTGAAGTTTCATCTTTGAACTGGAAATGTTTCTAAACTAACACTGAGAAACCAAATCTCTAAAACATTAAATTTTCTAACTCCACTCGCACTAACAATGGTAATTTATCATCAAAATTTCCAAGCATTCGTGACTATCATTGTCAATGATTTTTCTAAATAAGCAAAACCAAAAGCTAACGGTCTCATCTAGTATAGAGGAGATAAAGATTTTCATCCTTGCTTTCAATTCCTTCCTACTCAAAACTAAAACACTACAATGTATAAACAGAAGATCCAACGTTTTCTCTCTCCACTCCGTTCAATTTTCTCAGCAACCAAAAAAAGTCTCCCGTACCGTATTCGAAACTCCACCTCGTGGCCGCTCAAAAGCTGCTAATGAAGCCGACATTTGCGGAGATAACTAACATTAAAAGCAACTGACGAACCGAGAAAATTTGTTGAAACCGCTACACCTTTCGACCCCGTGAATCGGCCCAAGCTCCTCCATCGAGTTAATCCGGCGGCACGCGGCAGATCGGAGAGTAACACTTGAAAAAAATACTCGGTGAGATCTACAAGTTGAGACAGCTAATATCCGGGGGAGGAACTCTCTTAGGGTTTGCTTTTTGGTTTGATGGATGTAAATAAGAATCACCAACCGATGCTACCACTCCGTCAATATATTTAAATAAAATGCATAAAGAGTAATGGTGATATATTTTCTCTCACTTTCTAGCTTATTTTCTCGCTCTTTCTCGGCTAGATGATTTACATTCTCGAAATTTTTTTTTCTCTCTTTGAATTTGTTGTCTTTGTTAATGGATTAGGTAGAGAGAGAGCAGCAGTGATTATCGTGGTAATTTGGTAATCTCAGAGAGAGAGAGAGAGAGACAGAGAGACAAAGGGACAGCGAGAGAGAAAGATAGACTTTGCTTTTCACCTACTTCACCTGTTGCTGTAGAGAGACAGCGGATGTTTAACCAGTGAAGGAGAAGAGTAAGAGTCACGTGCAGTCAGGTCTAGTCAATTCCTCGTCTTTAGCCAGTGAAAACGTGCCACGACGGCGACAAAACATGCTTGATTTGCAATTAACACATTCACCAAAACAGGAAAAAGGCCTTATTACTATTATAATTTTGTGTTATCTACTTAGATTATAATTAATCAAATAATTTTTTGGTTATTTATATGCCATATAAGAATATAATTTGTATTCATCTAACTATCTTTTTATGTAGAAAATAACATACTATAATTAATGTTGTAACTCATAAAATAATTAAATTACTTGTAAAATTCAAAATAATAATATTACTTACAAATTTAATTTGCAACGAATTAAGTTTTATTATTTTTTTTTAAATAACTTAAAACTTTAGAAATAAACCAATCATATTATCTATATGTTATAAATTTTAGTATAGTAGTTTTAAAAATTTAAAATATATATTTATTATATATGTTTTTATTAAATATAAATATTTTTCGTATTAAAATAAGTGAATTGATAATAATAAATTTTATAATACATTATAACTGGAGATTCTTTAATCTCGTCACAATTTTTTACAAACATAATGAAGTATCAAAAAATTACAATTAATTTGATTTATACGGAATCTAAAACAAATATTTATATTCCAATAGAAGAAAAGTTTCTATTTCATTTTACCCTAACAAAATTATTGGGTTTTTTTTTTCTCATTTGTAATAAATATTTAATTTCATTTATTAATAAACGGATTTTACCATTTACTATAAAGTTTTTATTTTTCATTTCAATAGATATTGAAAAATGATAGTATAAAAATATAACTTATATAGTTTCATTTAACACACATGACAACATTAATTTTTTGTTGGGAGTGGGTTTGGATTTATCATAACATTGTAAATTAGAAGTTCTGACAAATTTTGTTAAAAAATGGTGAAAAGCCAATTAAATCGTTTTAAGATTTACCAAAACCAATAAAAATGAATCACCGACAACAATTAATTTTACTTATTGACTAGATTTAGGGAGATTTATTTTGAGATGATATGTAATTTTTACCATAAATTTAAAAATAATTATTTATTATAAATATATTGTTATTAATGATTATAAAAGTGTATTTTAAATCCAACAAAAAAAAAAAGTCAAAGTCAAAATTGCATTAAGCCACCACATTAATAAATGTTGGACTGGACTGAATATTACAAATGGGCTTAAATGTAAGAGGAAAATGGAACATTCACTTTCTCTGTTAAATTAAAAAATCCAATTTAATATATTATTAATTTTATGATTGTGGTTTTCACATCTTCGCATGAAATGAAGTAACTTTATTTCGATAAATATTTGTGTGTTAATTACAGTAATTAAATAAATGATTTACTAATCTTATTATAATGGTAAAAGTCAACTGAAATGATATATAAAATAACAGATAAAATCGTTATAAAGAAAAAAAAATATTGATTAAATTGATAATTTTAAAATAAATTATATAATTATTATATTTTATAAAAATTAAAACATAATAACATAAATTATTATCAACATATTTAATTACTAACAATGTGTTTTAACTTCTTATTTTATCTATATATAAAAAAAATATATACATTTTCTTTTTATGTTAGTTTTTCATCGATTAAAATTTTAAAAATTTTATGTATAATAATTAAATAAAGAGAATGTATATATTATTTTTTATTATCTTAAAACATGTTAAATTTAATAAAAAATAATATTTACGTCAAATATTCTTATATTGACATAATATATATATATAAATAATTAAGAAAAATATTAATGAGACACTAAAAAAACACGTAGAGCAATAATTAGCAGAGATGACTCGTGGAGTTTGAAAATAAAAAATAATTTGAGAGAATTAAAACAAAATATTTATATATCTCATAAAATAACCATATTTACTTCACAACAATCATTATTATTAATCTAATACACCTATACATACACACATGTATACATGTATACATACATAATTGCCACTTATTCGTCACATATAGCCCATTGGGTGGACAAGCTTCATTCGACTCTTTCAACAATTTAAGTAGTTTTGGTAATTAGAACATGCCACGTGCTTAAACTAAGATGTTCCCGAATTAAATTTAAAATATACTATTTATTTAGTTATTGCATATTATAATGTACAAATTTAACTAATAATTTTTATTAAAATTAAAAAGTTGATGATTTGAATTTAAATTTTTATTTAAAAAATACATATTAAATTAAATTACACAATTTTCATAATTGATCATCGATGATTTAATTTTAAATAGTACTATTATTCAATCAAAAATATCTTATGAAATTGAATAGTTTTATGCTTGGAAAATCATAATGTATATTTAACTATTTTTTTTTGAAACATTCAAGTATTATATATTTATTTAGTTAAAATTATAAAAATATTTAAATATTTAAAATTAATAAATAAATATAAATAAATAAATTATAAAAATATTATAAGTTTGTAGCAACTATTGGGTGAAAAAAATGTCTTTATATATATATACATGATAATAATAATAATAATAGTAATAATATATAAATATATATATGGGAGAGGGAGATGAGTGAATGGTGTCGTTTAAGAGGAGTGTAGATGGTGAGATGGGATGGACGGAGGAGTGTAGATGGTGAGATGGGATGGATGCGTGTAGATGGGAAGATGGGATGGACGGCCAGGATATGTAGTAGGTGGAGTATAAATAGTAAGAAGAAAAAGAAAAAAAAAAGAGAAAAGGGAAAAATCTGAAGAGGAAAGAAAAATGGATAATGGGAAAGGGAATGAGGAAATGGGTGATAAAAGATTCGAGTGAGAGAGAAGTCGAAGAGGGAAGGAACGGGAAGAGAGAACGGGAGAATGAGAAAGGTGATGGTGCGAGCTACGGAGGTGCGAAAAAAAGATGAAGACTGGAGATATGGTGAATTTAAAATTTGAATGTAGGATGATGATAAACTGTAGCTTTGTTTCTGCAAATGTTGAAAGAATGTATAAACAGTAAAAGAAATGGAAATAGGAAATGGTTGATTGATGGAATAGGAGAGCAGAGAGAGACCGTGACTAGCAGAACAGTTCGGTTGGGGTTATGAATGAAGAGAAGTGGAGGAAGCCGTGGGATGAGAGGTCGATAGGTACAGAAATGTGTTGTCTAGACAGTGTGAGGATCTAGAAAAGGAAGTAGAGGAAGTAAGGAATGGGAGAGTGAAGGAAAGGTTTCGGTTACGGTTAGAGGAATGAGGACAGCGAGTGAATAGGTGCAAGAGAATCCGTGGGGATAAGAGGTGAACTGGTACAATAAGGGTGAGTTGGGAGAAGCATAACACGTACGGGAGAATGGGAGGCAAAATGCTAAGTGAGAGATAGGTGAAATGCTTAGAGAGATTGATAATGAGAGAGAATAGTGCTGGAAGCCGAAAAAAAAAACACAAAAAGGAGGGAAGAGAGGGACTGAGAGTGGGAACGGTTGGAAAGAGTGACAGTGGCAAGTGTGATGAGGGGTGAAGTGAGTGGAAGAGAAAGGGGATTGAGATGAAGGTTAGGGAACAGTGAGCATATACATGTAGGGGTTATGTGTGTGAGTATTTTGTGTGGATGTGTGTTTGTGTGGGTGTGTTATTGGTATATATTATGTAAATATGCTTGTAAAATTAAGAACTGCATGACAATATTGGTTGTTTGGTAATAACTGAAGTTGGAATGACTGGTGTGTGGGTCAAGTATGCATGTATGTGGGGCATATTGAGTAGGGACGGGTGAGGTTGCATTAGTGGTGGTTGAGGTGGGGACGCCGATATTGGTTGTCGTTACTTATAAAATGTAAGTTGATCGCCGATATTGGTAATGTATGGGGGTTAATAGATTGGTAACAAGTTGAGTCGTCGATGTTGGTGACAAAAGAAAATAGTAACGATGTGTGTGTAGGTGGCTAGTTAGGGGTCGAGTGATGGAAAATGAAAGAGTGATCGCCGATACTGGTGACGGATGGGGATAACAGTGTGGGTGAGTGACCGAGGGGATGATATCAGGGGGTGACCACACCTAGTATTATTGACAACTGATTATCGAAGAGACGTGATAATTACAGTAGAGTTAGATGAATAGTAGTGGGGGTTGTGGGTAGGAAAAAAAGTATGACCAAGGTAACGAAAAGGGAAAATATATAAGAATATGCTTTTAATTGGGTTTTCATGCTATATTTGTGATTTAAATTAAGTATACTGAGTTGTATGTGTTCATTCTCTATTAATTACAAATGAAGTAGGACTGAAGATTGGATCGGAGTTGCAGCTTTTAGAAACTAGCGTATAGAGGAAATAGAGCATAATTTACTATTAGTAGAACGAGATAATTATGTATTTTGTAATAATATAAATCATATGTAAAAATATGAATTTATGAAATTCGTAAGTTATTATATTGATACGTCTACGGTCGAGAATTTATAATAGAAATTAAGTAATTGGTTGTACTACTTTTTCTTATGTACATGATTGATTTGAAATGAAATACGGGTGTTCGATATACTAATATATTTGAAACAACATCGCTGAAAAAATAAAAAATGGGGTGTTACATAGTTAAATTGAAATAAGTAGAAAATTTTGAGGATTAATTTGAAAAATTGTGAAAAAAAAATGGATGAGTAACAAATGCAAGGATAGTTATGGTGATTTCATAAAAGTATATTGTTTTCTCTAAAATATACTTAAGCTAATTTTGGAATATTCATCCAAAAAGCGTTATAAAATTTATTCCAAACGCAGTCTTAATTCGAAAATGGTAGGCCAGGCTGGTGACAAACATCACCATCACTATACATATATACATATATATATATACATTCAAGTATGTTTATATATAAATTAAGCCTTGACTGCTTCGCCTTCCCTCCCTCCGGAAATCTCTTTCCTCTGTACTCCCACCCACTGCCTAACATTGGAGCTTTAGATTTCTCCATTACCTGTTCATATTCTAATACAAAAATCTAAATATGACGTCACGTTTCCATCGGTCAAACCTCGGCGTCATGTCACCGCACAGAATGATTCGATCGAACAATCCAAAACCGACGATTCTGGTGTCTCTGATCGCTCGAAATCACGCGAATCAACGGCTGAGGATCGGTCCACGATCTCTAGACCAGCCAAGATCGGTGGTAGTCAGGACGGTGGTGCGAGGTGGAGCCTGGGATTCAACGCCAGACGGCGGAGATGCGGTGGAGAATGCAGGCCCCTGCTCTTACGCCGTGGATGACGTAAGATTCGGTGATTTGGTGGAGAAGAGCGGGAGTGGTTGCGGCGGCGATCGGACGGTCGCGGTTGAGAGGAGGAGCAGCTATCGAACGGTGGATGTCATGGTTGCATTTGCGGCTACTGTAGTGTTAGGTGTAGGCAACCGAGTGCTCTATAAGCTAGCTCTCGTTCCCCTCAACCGCTATCCATTCTTCCTCGCTCAGCTCGCCACTTTCGGGTACATACTGTCTCACTCTCTCTCTCTCTCTCCCTCTCTGAACTATCTATGTCATCGTTATGTGTGCATTTTTCAGTTTTCACTGCTGCCAGTCTCTGTTTTTCTACTTCCACTCCCCGCGCCCAGCGAAACGAAAGCGTTTTTTATTCTAGGTCATATTCAGCGCCTTCCCAGTCACAGTCTCACAAGTCATACATTAGTTAATGCACGTATCTGATTACTGTCTTCTCAATAATAGACTTTACCATAACATTGATTTAACCGAGCGCATTAAAAAATTAAAATAAGGCTTTAATTTCAGTTTTACACGATTTCCGGCCCAACTGTATGCGTTAATATAGTAATTTATTTTTCTTAACAATTTAGTAAAATGTCTTTGTGTCTTCTACAAAAAAATAATTTACTGTCCAATTCGTGAAATTTTAATTTTCTGATTCCTCGAGTAATTTCCGGATGCTTATTGCGCAATTTTTTTGAGTTAATTTTTTTTTTCTCTGTTTGGCGTTTTTGATCTTATGATATTTTTTTTTCTGTTCGGAGTTCTCCTATTTTAAAAAATTTTTCGAGCTAATGATTTGAAACACGAGGAGAATTTCGTAAGATAGAGAAAGAATATTTTATATATGGTAGATGGGAATTTATATTTTATATATGGTAGATGGGAGTTTTGCTTTGTCCACCTACCAAGTGGCAGAAAATGTTAGAATAATGTGTCGCACGTCTTAATTGTTCTTTCACCGGTTGGATCCCTGCTTCTCTCCCTCCGGGTTAGAAATGTCAATTGGAACTCTTCTTTTATTTTTTGGAAGATAACAGGGTATGTTGATTTTCGAGTTAGTCGATTTATTTGTGAGTGATTGATGTTATAAATGAATTTAGTATTCATTGAATTATTCCATAAATTATTTCTCTCTCTTTGTTTTCATATTTATATAGTGTAAACTTTAATATTTCACCAGATTTCTGCCATGTTAACCTATTCCAGTTTTGATGGAAAAAAATTAACTATCATTTATGGGATTGATCGAGTTAGGAAACTAAAATTAATTCAGTATCTATTAACTTACTGATTCAAATATTAAATAGAATATGTACTTACTATTTTTTCATGGGTTAATATACTTATTGATATGCTGAAAGCTGATTTTTTTTTTGCCGGTTCGTTTTAGGACCTGGATTTAAAATTTTCACACTCTTCTGTTTTGAGGGATTTGATACATCTTTTACATTGATGTCCAATAGTAATTTCTTGCTAGGTGGTTGATGAAGAGATGCTTTCTGAACTGATTAAAATATCAAATCTAGGTTATTAAAAAAAAATTTCGGATGTTATCACTATCCTTATGGAAACTTTAGTTGCATTGTAATATTTGGTTATCTATTGGGCTCTTAAAAATATTCTTATTGGTAAACTATACGAAATAGATATTTTGGGTTAAAAACGAGTAGTGGCAGAGATTTTTTTTTGTCACCTAAGAAGAATGAGACAGGAACGGTGATATCCAGGGGTGGGCCTAAAGTTGAATGATATCCATAAATATGAAGATTATGTAGCAAAAGCAGCTATTCAGGTTCTAAAGTTCATTGAAAAAGAAAGTTATTCTGAACCTTTTTCCAACACCACTTAGGTTGTCATCATGTTCTTGAAGAAACAATTTGATATCAACGATAGCAGTGAGATTACCACTATGATTGTTGTGGGCTAAGTGGGTGCTTTCATCATTATGTGGTCGTTTGTCGTCTCAGCCAATCTTTTGTTTTTTTTCTCTTTTCCTCGTTTGTGGTCTGCAACGGAGATGAATTGATGCCTTTGACTTTGCTTTTGGAAACTGCTCTATTGCATATATATTATTCACTTTCGTAAAGTTTCTATGATACTAGCGGTCCCCCTTCAAGAATTTTACTTCCACTTCTGGTGCATAAAGACCGTTAACCCTGGGGCTTGATTTGTTTTCTAGCCATGTAGGGCAATATCACTTGCATTATGATGATAAATTCTGAGTTGTTTGACAACGAAGGAAGTTAAAAGCCAATTGGTTTATTGGACATTGGTAGCAATTAGCAACTGCATTTGTCCGTCGGTTAAGGATGAACATGAACCTTACAGACCATATTACAGGCTAAGTTTGTCTATAATCATCTTTTTCTTTTGTGCATCAGCAGTGAATTTTATAGTTTTTAGAAGGTGTTGTGACCTTTCTTTCTGCCCCCATTGGCATTGACTCCTTTCTGTTGATTTCTCGAAGTTCATGCATGCAGTATAAACTCGTTGTGCTCTCTGTAATCAGATATCTATCAGTACGCAAAGACTCAAAAGTTCTAGTTTGAAAGTCAAACTTCTACCAGATCGTCGGTTTTGTTGATAACAAACAAATATTATGGATAGAGCATTAATATGTGCATTGCAGGGCCTGTCGAGTCATGATGACAATTCAATGTAATAGAAATCACTCGTTTGCACACTTTTATAGGTCATACACATTTAAACCTATGTAAATTTTCTCCACTTCTTTGTCTTCTATTTCCTTTTATTTTAGACCTCCGTTGCCTACTACTATCACTTCGGCAGTTTTACCATTGAACACTCCACATTTTTTAACGAAGACACACATCTGCAACTCTAGATCTGAGTGCTGACTCAGAGACTTTTTCCTCTTTATTTCGTAGGTATATAGTTGTTTACTTTTCGATCTTATATCTGCGCCATCATGCTGGAATTGTTACGAGTGAGATGCTTTCGGTGCCAAAAGCACCATTTCTGGCTGTTGGCCTTTTGGAGGCTCTTGGTGCTGCAACTGGGATGGCTGCAGCAAGTAATGTTTTCTCATTATTTTCTCATATTTTACCTGATTTGCTTAATTTTTTTAATGTTTCTCTTAAATTATTTCTCCTGTATTCTTAAAATCTTCGCCCCTTTTTCAACTATTATTTGTTAAATCTAATTTTTCAATCCAGCTTCTGGAGTTTTAGTATTTGCTCTGCCGATACGCATCTGAGGCCAATTGCATTGAACTTCCTAATTTTTTTGGCTCATTATTCTATGTTTCCGATCTTGCCCGGATTACAAGTAAATGTTATTTGAAATCAATTCAAATGATGAAAAATAAACGATTCTTTCTTCTGAATAATTAAAGATTAGAAATAAGAATCACATTCTCCCCAATAGTTGACTCTTAAACAAAACAGAAAGTTGTTCAAAAGGACAATATTTATTCTGTAATGAAATATTTATTTTGTAATGAGTATGCTCTGGGACTTTTAATTTGTTATATTTGGGTCTCTCATTTTCTTAAGCGACTCTTTTGTATCCTTGTTTCTTATCTGAATAATTTGAGATGTTATTTTCTCATTTTTCAAATGCTTGCTGCAAAATGTATTAATTGCTGGACTTAAGGTTGTTTCTATACAGTTTAGTGATTGGTTTTTTTTTTATAATTTCCATTTAAATCATATAGTTGCTTCACAATTCTTCATGGATTAGAGATTTATTTTGAAATGCAAACACTTTTTCCTCCCGAGTTGTATAGTCCCTTACTATTAAATAATTATGATACTTTAATATATGACTACTCCAAATTCTCACTTTGTTTGTTTATTTTCCCTTTCATTGGTTCAGCAATTCTTTCTGGAGCATCAATTCCGATTTTATCTCAGGTAGATGCATTTATCATTTAAACAGTAGAACTTTGGTCAAAATAGCACTCTGGTTACTTTGCACTTCCGGTATTCTGTTTTTCCTTTGAAAAGCATTTTTTAAAATGAAAACAAAATTGAAAGGGTTGAAAGATTTCTAAGGAGATGTATAATGTCCACACTAATATCACATTGAGCTAATAATTTGAGGTGCATACATAAACATAATACAATCATTACTTTAACATATAATAGGTCATACAAAGAAGTAAGATGTGCCAGGCCGACTGTAAACTAGGGAATTTGCTATTTTGATCTCCTATGAGGTTGATTGGTCAGGTCATTTATCACAACTTGAGGACTTTATAAAGGACAATAACTGGACTGGCCCAAGCATAATACAATTCAGAATCTTAAATAGAAGGTAATTGGCAAGCAGTATAAACTATATAACTAAGAACACGATTTTAGTTCATCCAATGTGAAATAAATTCAGTGCATGTTTTTCTAGTGTTTTGTCTTGCTTGTAGATATGTCCTCTAGCTCATTATTTGTTACTGTTTGATGGTTGACATCAAATCTGGAACTTGAAAAGTTGATTGGTCATTTTTTTACTTTCGCAGACTTTTCTTGTCTGGCAAATTCTCCTGTCTACTATTTTTCTTGGGAGGAGATATAGATTAAATCAACTACTAGGTTGCTCTCTTGTAGCAATTGGTGTAATCATAACTGTTGCAAGGTTAGTTATTCTTAAATCTGTAGCTTATATTAATTAGCTCAGTTTCTAATCAATAATTCAAAATCTCTTTACTGTAGACCCTCATTGTCTCTTGCATGGTTGAGCAAACTGAAAACTTTACTCAGTGGCTCAACATTAATATTTTAGTCCTTTGCCCATAATAACCACTAAACGCAGATGGATGGATCGAAATGCAATTGAACTCATTGATTAGCTTATTCTTTTCCTTCATGGGTCTCTGTGGCCATTGGATGTCAGTGGGTCATATTTGGTCTTTCTTTTGCTAATAGATAATACGAGGCATTTGTAATCTGTTTTCTGGGCGTTCCATAGTGGATTGTGGAACCTTCTGTCAGAGCTATTCTGCAGACATGATTGGGAGTAAATCTCTCCTGTTATGTGATAATGTGAACAAGTATGATTTATCTTATTTCTGATCAAAATATATCTGCTGATTTCATATTACATATTCATTTTTTTAAGATAATTCATATTACATTTATGTGGAAAAAATTCAACTGTGACATTAACATCTGGATTCTTGTCACATCTATAAACCTGCAGTGGAAGTGGTGCTGGTCATTCATTTAAGGAAGCTGGTATATTTTGGAGTCTTTTAATGATAGTTTCCTTTCTTTTCCAAGCTGCTGATACAGTTCTGAAGGTTGTCAAATCCCCAAGTAAAACTATAGTTTTTCCATTTTTTTCCTCATGTTACTTCGTATAACAGGGAAATTTTAAATTGTAGGAAACAATCTTTTTGAATGCTGCTCAGAGGTTAAAGGTACGCTTAATGGTTTCTATTGACAATGAATTTCTTATTTATGAAGGTCGTGTTCTAGTTGGTATTTAAAGCTAGAAACAATCCCCAAAATGAGTTCAGCACTTGTGTTATTGGCTAAGCTTAAACAAAACGGGTGCTTGATTTTGGCTTGACAATTAATTCAGAACTAAATGTTTGGTCTAATCCAACTTGTGAAGAATTGATCCGATATTGAATTAAAATGAAGTATTTATCTAGCAAGTTTTATTTAAAAATAGAACACTAAATTAGACACTTAGATACTTCATTTGAGATATATGAAATATGTGATGCGTTACCCAGGTTGGTTCACTAGCTGCATGAACTTATAATCAAGTTCAATTTATCTTTTAAGTTTGGGTTTTTACCCTTGTTGAATGAGTCAGGCAGGGAAGCCACTTTCTAAAATCTAATCTTTTATTTAGCTGTAATATTTATATGGAAGCAACTTAGTAAATTTTTTCTGGAATTCTAGCCTTCCCATTTTTTAGCTGGGAGTTCATTGGGGAAAAGATTGCTAGAATAATAAAATGGCCAAGAAATGGTGATTAAAAGAGAGTAATATAATATCTTGTGTGACATTTGCATGCTTGAGTGTGAAATAAGATGGACATATTTTATATTTTCCATTAAAAAAAAAGGAATAACATTGTCATTGGGGACTCAATATATGGAATGTGCATCCTTCGAAAATTGAGTTGCTTTAGTTTCCCTCAATATTTCTTTTTTTTCCTTCTTTTCTGCTTATTATCATTCTCATTGTTTATTTATTTATTTTTGATTGGATGAAGTCACAGTTGAAAATCTTACTTCTTTGTTGAGGTGATCCTGTTGCATCTGTTACAGGGAGGATCCATTGATCTTTTTGTTGTAAATTCATACGGCTCTGCTTTCCAAGTATGTAATATTCTTCTCAATATATCATGACCCAACTTTTGTTTTACCTTTTTACAGTTTGATATATGAAGTTGAATTGGATGCTTATGTGCTTCTGTGTCTGTTGAATGCAGGCACTGTTTATTTGCGTGCTTCTACCTTTTCTGTCAAAATTATGGGGCATTCCATTTAGTCAACTCCCTAACTATCTTAGAGATGGAGCGGCTTGCTTCCTGAACATTGGTAGTTTATCAAGTGGTAGGTTTTCATTTTTGTTAATTTTATTTTATGCAATGGGATCAAGAATGCCTTTTATCCCATTAAAGTCAAGCAAAGCCATTGTCTGTTGCAAGTTGGTGCAAACAAACACGTATACCTCATATTCTACATTGGTTTCTTGTTTCAATAATTGGTTTTCCTTCATGCTAGTAAAGGAGATGCTTTGTTGAAGCTTGTTTTGGCACGATGCAATCTCAATTTGAACTAAAGTTGGAAACCCAGCTATCTTCACATTTAGCAGGTTAAAAGGATATTAGTTAAAATCATCTTTAAGAACTTGGATTTTTCTTGTTTTTTCCTTTTTTTTTTCTCCCACGAGAAAGAGCTTTAAAGTGTCCAATTATAAGTCAACTTCTAGATTAAATTTGGGTATAAAGCAAGCTGCAGTAAGGGAAGACACATGTCTGATAGAAATACCAAGTAAGAAGATACATAAAGTTTAAGGATGACGCGAATATCCAGATAATTGTTTGTTGATAATAGCAATCATAGCCGATTTGCAGTAAACTATTTTTCCGAAGCAGGCTGAAAAAAACTGAACACTTGGAAACCAGATACAAACACCCGGTGTTCTACAAAAAAGAAAAGATATCATTGTCATATAGAGGAAAAGAATAGTAGAATTCATAGTGTTAATTGTAGAATTACCTAAAGAATTCATAGTGTTAATTGTAGAATTGGCTAACTGTCAAGATTAAGCTTTCTGTTTCTGCTCTAATAACATGCCACTTTGATGAAATCCTTCTGAATGAATCAAGTGTTTGATTTGGTTTTGGGATTTGGCTTGCAACAGGATGTGATGGTGCACCCCTTCTTCCTTTGTTGTTTGTAATTGTAAACATGGGCTTTAACATATCATTGCTACATCTCATCAAGATCTCTTCTGCTGTGGTATCTTCACTGGCATCCACATTTTCAGGTATTCACTTCTTTCATAAAATGTTTGCCTTGCTTTAAAGGGATTTCCACCAAAATAAATCATATGACATAAAGCAGTCGTTGCTCATCAAGCATGGGTAGCCCACAAGAGTTGCTACCTTGATGGGGTTGTGTCTAGGGCTCTTAGCATCATTTCAACAACTAACTAGACTTTTTTACTCAAGTCAAACAAGGAAACAATAGCATAAAGAAAGATGAACATATTAATTCGAAAATTTAAAACTAATAGGAAATGAGCAGTTCTATTATTTATAGATTAACACAACTTTTCATGTGTTAATTCATTAAATTGAAAGCATGAATCGAGCATATACCTGTATATTTTAAAATTCAATTAACAGATTACGATAACCAAAGTCTGAACTCTATGCCTTTAATTTTGATACCATGTAAAATAATTGATTGTAGCTAATGATCACCGATGTGTTATTGTTTAAACATTAAAAGAATTCAGTTGCTAACAAATTATAGGTTGTTACCTTTGTAGAAAATTAATTGAACTCTAGCGAACTTGAGCCTACATTTTTACTGTTTTCTCATTTGATCTCCTCTTGTAATGAAATACCACATTGGCAGTGCCAATAGCTGTATATGTCTTCACATTTCCGCTACCATACTTGGCGCTGGATCCTCTCTACCCACCGGCTTTGTTGCAGGGGCAATCATCCTTGTTCTAGGATTGCTTTTATATGCTTGGACACCGTCAACTACTCCTGCTTGCCCCTCACTGTCGTCGCCACCTAAGTAGAAAATCCTCATCTCGCAGTTGGCTTTGCCATTTTCTCCCCTGAACTCCGACGAAGCTTTTCATCACCATGTGCATGTGGTCATCAAAAGCTGGCGCTGCACAGAGTATTTTGAGTGAAGAGAAGAAGGAAGATGAAGAATATTGTATCATTTCGTAGTTCGTTTATCTGTTTCTTTTCTGAGGCAGTTTGTATGTCTTTCTTGTTCCAACATTGAAAGGGCAAGATGGCTACTCCCTTGGTAGCCACTAGCCTTCTCCATGGTTCCCAGGGTGTGGAAACTTGGCTGTTTAGAGAATCATTTTTTCCTATTGGAAATAGCTGTGTTGCTAGGAAATTGGAATTTTGTTCCTGTGAAGAAATTTATAGTGTACCAAAACAATAAAGTAAATGTAAACTTCACAAATAAAATTCATTTATTTCAAACATGAAATAAATCTGAAGTTTTGGAAAATGACTAAAATAAAAATTGGCTTTAAAAGAATTTTAAGTTTGAATTTCACTTGTCATTATTTTGTTATTTTAAATTATTTTCTTAAAATTTTAATTATATTTTAAATTTAGTCGAACTATGATCCTTCTAGATATAGATAAAATTTGAATAAATTTAGATTACACCAAATAATTTGTCGATTCAACTGGTCTGCGGCCAGTTTATTTTATTTTTTTTAAAATAATTAAGATACCACTAAATAACATTAAACTTAAAAATTAAATGTATATTTATAAAATAATTAATCACAAATAAAATTTATTTAAAAAATTAAAGTAAAAAATACATCATTATTTTAAAATTTTTTAATTATTTTCTTAAGTTAAATGTTTTTGTATCTACAATAAATTTATTAACTATTACTCAATTAAAAAGTTGGCATTTATTTTTCTCTCAAAGAAAGTATAAAGTTAATCATTCTATTTCATTTATACATTTATTATATTATTTTTTAAACAAGAGATATATTCCAAATATTTTCCCTAGAAAACCAGAAATTTCCTAAAGAAGGAATTTCAAAATTTGTATGTAATGTTTGGATTATCGCTATCCAGCCTGCCTCTCTGTTACTTATTCGTCAACACTGCTTAAAATTCAAAAGAAAGAGCCCTAAGATTTCGAAATTGCAGATTGATTCAAAGAAACCGAGAGAAGAAGACGAACGAACGATGTTGAGAGCTACTCATCATCTTTTCCCAGTAGCATCACCAAAGCTCTCTGTTATTAGACAGCCTTTGCTTCCTGCTCCCATCCTCTCTTCCCTTTCCCGCCTTTACACCCTCTCCCCGTTTGTTTCTTCGTCTCTCTCATCTCTTCCCAGTTCCCTCCGACCCGCTCCACATGCTCACCTTCCTTCCTCGACCTTCCGGCGGGTTCCTTCTCTGCTCGGTGCTCGCCATTTCCCCAGAGCAACGGGTTAGTGATTGACTCTTGTTTTCCACTCTCCTTTGAATTGATTTTCAAATGTGTTATGGTGGGAATTGCTTGTTTCAACTCAATCTTCATGTATTTTCACCTCGTCTTAGAGAGAGAATAAGAAATGATACTGCGAAAAGGGTCGTTAATCTGATTGCGATTGTCAAATATTGCTTGCCTGACGAGTGTTTTGCTTTGGTGTCTTCAGTTTCGCTTAGTGGCGGGAGTGACTCCGGTAGTATCAGAGAGATAATGGTGCAGCACTTGCTTGTTAAGGAAGACGATCTTAAGCTTTTGCTGGAGCTTGAGAAGAGAATTGCAGATGGTCGGCCAGTTTTATAGATTTTTTTTTTTCTTTATAATCTTTTCGGAAAATTGCTGTATTTAATAATGTAGATATCGGGTTTTGTTATCATATTATCCGAAATCATGTTTTCTGTTTGTATTTAACTGTAAATACCGTGGTTTCACGTGAAAATTTATTGATTCTAACGGTAAATCTTGTGTTAATAAACTATTCTTTTTCTACATTGTTTCGCGTAGGAGAGGATATGAGTGATCTTGCTGTGGAGTATTCAATCTGTCAATCCAAGGAAAGGGGAGGAATGCTTGGGTGGGTGAAACAGGGGCAATTGGTATTTACAACACGGTCACTGTTACATTTATCATGCAAATCATTTTGTTCTTATTATTATTAGTGGTAGTAGTAATGTAATTTAGAATGTCTATAATTGCCAACATCTTTTCTGCTGGCTCGGCCTTATCCTTTTTATGGTACTGTAACTTACTACTGGTTCATTGAAAGAAAAGGTGAAAATGTGATAGTTTCTTTTTGTTCAACAAGTATAATTAAATATTAAGAAGTCACTATATGCTTTAAGCCGTATTAGTTGAACAAGATGCAAGGCTAAATTATTCCTAGAAGTAGTATGCTTTTAATAGTTTTCTCTTTATGAACATATTGCAGGTACCAGAATTTGAGGAGGCTGCATTTAGTGCACCTTTAACCAAAGTTATAAGGTGCAAAAGTAAATCTGGTTGGCATTTATTGCAGGTTCTGTCTGAGAGGTATGTTTTAGAAACCTATGTACAACTGAGTATAAGACTTGATAAAAGAATACTGGTTCTAACTCTTTCCATTGTTCTGGATCTGCAATTATATTACCAGGGAAGGACTTCAAGAGATTCAGGTTGATGAGCTTCATGTGAAAATGCAGGACCCTAAATTCCTTGAAGAGGCTCAGTTGATTGATGTTCGAGAACCTGATGAAATGTATGCTTTCTTTTTTTTTTGGTTTCTTAAAAATAATTTTAAGAGCCTGTAAAAGCATCTGTTTTAGATTAAAAAAAAACTAAACCAACTGAGAAACTCTGTAAAATTTCTACAAAATAAAAATATTACACATTATCAATATTACTAGATACAAGAACTGTAAAATGAGATGAAATATACATTGAGAATCAGCGAATCAACTGGTAAATGAAAAGCTAGAGAGCCTTTGGTGACAATTATGGTCCACATAAAATAGTGGAATAACTCGAGAAATGTCAAAGATTTATATTGGCTGAGGATAAAGCAAAGCTAGAGCAGAATGCTTATTTTAATGATTTGTTACGTCTTTGAATTGTAATTTTTGCACAATGATTGTGCCCAACAGCAATGGTATTTCTAGGATGGAAGATGCATTGCTCATGTTTCTTTTTGCTTATCTGTAAACTATATAAGTTAATCAGCTTAAAATTTTAAGGTCTTCACCTCTGCGGTATTTGGGAATGGTGTTTTAACTTGTGAATGATTTGTGAGTACATCAATACAGCTTTTTGCATGCCAGAAAAATTTGCTGCATTTTATTTTTATTTTTTCACTTGTATTTTTGCTCCCAGAGCCTTAGCTTCCCTGCCGGCTTTCCAAGTGTTTCCCCTTCGCCAATTTGGAACCTGGGGACCAGAAATGCCAGGGAAGTTTGATCCTGAGAAGGATATATATGTCATGGTATGTAATTCCTCAACTGGTGATAAATGCTTCCCGCCTCTCCCCTTTTTAACAGCAATGAGAATGGAATAACATCTATTGAAGATCTGGAGCTGTTCTATTAGCATACATTTGATAATTTCTGTTCTGTGTTTGACTGCATTTTAGTTTTAATGGTCCATTGGATGCATTTTCCTGATTAAAGTGGGGATTTTGATGGTACTAATGATCTCTACATTTGTATGGTCTATTTCTCTTTTTGTCTTTGGAATGAAAAAAATGTTATCAGGAAGTCTTAACTATCGGTTTTAGTGTAAAAAGAATGTTAATTATCAATTTGTTCATCTCTCCCCATTGCTTTAATTTCACCTGTCCATATTCTGAGGTTTGTTTTTTTTTTTTTTTCATTTTCCCTCTATATTTTTCCTTTTCATTTGATACTAAATTGTTTCATCTGTCAATTCGATGGTTCTTGTTCATGTTGACAAGTGCATCGGTAACAATGAAGAGGTGTCCTATAGATGGTTCTTCCATGTTCTCAACAGTGCTTTTAGAGTCTATGTCCTCATCTTCTTTTCTTCATTAAATCAGTCCTTTTTTTTCTTAAAAAGTAATAAGAGTTGCTTTGCAGTGTCATCATGGTGTTCGGTCATTACAGGTTGCCAAGTGGTTGCAGAGTCAGGTAAATCCTTTCTCTGTACAAGTCTCTTTATATATATATATATATATATTGCATTTTGTTCATTTATTGATCTGAATGATTTGCTTTGAGTATATATGAACACGTTAATGAAAAACAGTTTCTGGTTAGGAAATTTTGGCCAACATATAAAAAATTTATGTACACGAGTGATTTGCTGGCATTCTAATGCTTGGAGGAAAACAGATTCAGGTGGAAAAATGCTTACAGAAGATAAAGATGCTTTAACCTAATAGATGATTTTTGGGGTAGACTGTCCATTGACATTAACCAGTGTAAAATATCTAGATGCATGAAACATATTCATATCTTCAATGTAGTATGGATGAAGGCAGATAACTTGTTACTTTGATAGAACTTTTCTGGTACTTGAGAAGGAAAAGAAAAAAAAACAGAAAGGTTCATATTGTAACGACTGCAAGGTGGTATGCTGCAATTTAATTATAAACAGAATCTAGTTATAAGTATAGTTAAACCATACCTATATAGCATTTAAGAATAATTATTGAATTGAACAAACAGGGAGATAAAAAGCAGCTAGTGCTGTGCAGAGTTGTTTCAGTTTGTAATGAACTTCCTTGCTGTTTCCTCAGCATCATCATGAAGCTAAATATTTTTATCAAACATTTTTAGTTTACACCTCTTGCTGAATTTATATTAGGGCATAGTAGTTATATATATTGGTTTGGATTTATTGCAATATACTGCCCATAGCTTATACGTACGGTTTGAGTTTTTGTCATTCTACTTAAATATTATATCAGTAGTTTTTTTCTTCACTTGTAATTTTTTCTGACTTCAAATTTTTCCTGGTTCTTGTTTAAGAATTCAGGCAAGTGCATATTCTCTAAAAGACTAACTATATATTACATAAAATATTAATAAATTAAACTATAGAGCATTAAACTGTCAAAATTAAAAAAAAAAAAAAAATTTATTGTTGGCTTTGAGCTGCAGGAAGGTCAGAGTTGGTGGGTGGAAGTAAACTTGTTCTCGTCTGTGTTAGTCTTTCTCTATTATCTCTTACTGCATACTTTGATATTTGTACTGTATACATTTCCTATAAATCGTATTTTCCTCTTTTATAACGAAATGCTATATCCCCTTATTTTCGCTTAACCCTTCACCATCATCATCGTCGTCGTCGTCATTATCATTTGGTTTCTTCTTCCATGATCTTGAGACTGTTGTTCCTTTGCTGATTGGCTTAACGACTGTCCAGGGGTTTAAGAGAGTGTTTAATGTAGCTGGGGGAATACATGCATACGCTCTGAAGGCTGATCCATCAATCCCTACTTACTGAGAGGATTTTTTTCTTCCCCCAAATGGGACCATTATCATTATTTTTGTTTATTCAACTATAATCAAGTAAGAGAATAGAAGTATTTGAATATTGAAACTATATTTTATTTCATTTATTATAAGTATTTTCGGACGGTCAGTGAAATTTTGTTTTCTTATTACTTTTATTCTGTCAAGCTGAATAGAATATTTCTTGGTATGTGATGTGCACTAAATCAGAACTCTATTATGTCAACTGGTAGCAAAGCATGGTTCCCACTAAGTTCCAATCTGAGCTTCTTTATAATGGTTGATTTGATTTAAGTCATTGTGTTTGCCAAATCAATATTACAGATACAAAAGTTATATTATTTTAACTACTAAAACGTATTTTACAAGATAAATTATTTCTTGATCGACTTTATTACAATTCAAATTTTCTGGGATTTTCTCCAGACAATTCAATCAGTCAAAAAAAAAAAAAAATTTATCATTTACTGCGCAATTCAAATAGAAGAATAACAAAAAATGAGTTATCATAAAAATTACAGTAGGATCAAATAACAGAACAGAAAATGTACGTGTACCTTGCAGCTAAATGAGACAAATTCAAGGGTTTGGTTAAAAAGAAGTTTCAAAACCAGAAAAAAGAAAAAAAGGGCGAATTGAAAACTGTTGGTATAGATAGGATTTGATTTCTTGTTGAGTTGTTAACAGCTCCTCTCAACTAGATGGAAGAGGAAGAAAGTAAAAGAAAAGTGAGTAGCTGTAAACTACGTAAAAGAACAGAGAGAAAATGAGAGAATTTTCCCGGAAAATTCTCTCAGCCCTGATTACCCCTAAACAGATTCAAAGACAACCAGAGAAACCACCTAAAATTTCTCACTATCAATCCCCTTAGTTTTTCCAAACCCAAAAAAAAAAAAAAAAAAAAAAAAGAACACCAAACCTTGTTCGCTACCATCCTTCCATTCCTCCCTCCTTTCTTTTCTCACATGTCTTTCTCTGCCTAAATCACCCACCTTCTTCTTCAAAAAATATCTCCCAAGAAAATTTCGTACTTTTCCTTTTCTGGTCTTCTTCTCCCAAGGGCTCTCTTTTCCCCCTCCCTTGTGTGTCTCTCCCTTCTGTCAAATGGGCAATTGTTGCTCACAGGGCAACTCTGCGGATGCCCCCAACAGTGAAAAGGGAGAAACCACACCTGAAAATGGCACCGACAATCCCCATTCAGCCCCTGACAGCTCCACCACTCCTCCCAAACAACCTTCCACTTCCCCCGGCGCCTCCTCAAAACCATCCAAGGCTGCTCCAATCGGCAATGTCCTTGGCCGTCCCATGGAGGATGTCAAGTCCCTCTACACCATTGGAAAAGAACTTGGTAGAGGCCAGTTTGGCATAACTCATCTCTGCACCCTTAAATCCACCGGCGAACAGTTCGCCTGTAAGACCATTGCCAAACGGAAACTGGTGAACAAGGAGGATATTGAAGATGTGAGAAGGGAGGTTCAGATCATGCACCATTTGACTGGTCAACCCAATATTGTGGAGCTCAAGGGAGCTTACGAGGACAAGCATTCTGTCCATTTGGTTATGGAGTTATGTGCCGGAGGAGAGCTTTTTGACAGGATCATCGCCAAGGGACATTACACAGAGCGAGCTGCTGCTTCCTTGTTGAGAACCATTGTGCAGATTGTTCATACCTGTCATTCCATGGGTGTTATTCATAGAGATCTCAAGCCTGAAAATTTCCTTCTCCTTAACAAAGATGAGAATTCTCCTCTCAAGGCTACAGACTTTGGCCTCTCTGTGTTTTACAAGCCAGGTTTCCTGTCTCATCTTTTCTTCTGTATTTATGTTTGTCCGCTTCCGCCATTGTTGATTTCTTTAACATACTTGGTTTTTGCTTTCTAACAGGAGAAGTGTTCAAAGACATTGTCGGCAGCGCGTATTACATCGCGCCAGAAGTCTTGAAGAGGAGATATGGACCGGAGGCTGATATTTGGAGTATTGGAGTCATGTTGTATATTCTCTTATCTGGTGTTCCACCGTTTTGGGCGGGTATACTTCCATTTCTTCTTCTTCTCTTCCTTCCTTTTATTTTTTTTTTTTCATTTCGCATAAGGATTCTGTTGAAAAAATAAATTCTCAATATGCACACGATCACATAAAGCAAAGAGTAAATAAAAAAAAAAAATACAAGTAAAGAGTAAAATAAGAAAAAATACAAAATTTAAAGTGGTTCAATATATATATGCTTATATTCACAGATAAAATTACAAAAAAAAAAAAATTCATTATATTAAAATGAAAGTACACATCAATAATGTCTATATAATACCAGAGTTTTTCTCTAAAATATTCTTCAAGATATACACAGAATATTTACATAATTATTATATTTTAGAGCTCTTCTTTTTAAAGCAATATGAAGATGAAATAGAGAAATTCTTGGTTTAACAAATGTGTTTTTAAGGAAGATGATTATTCTTGACAGAATCGGAACATGGAATATTCAACGCGATCCTACGTGGTCACATCGACTTTACAAGCGATCCATGGCCTTCAATCTCACCTCAAGCCAAGGATCTTGTCAGAAAGATGCTAAATTCAGACCCCAAACAGAGGTTGACAGCCGTCCAAGTTCTTGGTATGTAAGCTTTTATACACTCAATTCAGATTTTGTTTTCCTTCTTTCTACAGCAAACCCATATGAAGATTTTTGAATCAATGTTGTATATGATCATTACCAGGGCATCCGTGGATCAAGGAGGATGGAGAAGCACCTGACACTCCTCTTGACAATGCAGTATTGACACGGCTCAAGCAGTTCAAGGCCATGAACAATTTCAAGAAAGTTGCACTCCGTGTAATTGATCATTTTTCCCCTTTCCAAAACTAAGTTAAATTTGATTAATCCCATCTTTTAATCGACATTCTTTTTCGAGTTCGACAGGTTATTGCAGGGTGCCTATCCGAAGAAGAAATCATGGGATTAAAGGAGATGTTCAAAGGCATGGATACTGACAATAGTGGAACCATAACCCTTGAGGAGCTGAAGCAAGGACTTGCCAAACAAGGAACAAGACTATCTGAATATGAAGTCAAACAATTAATGGAAGCTGTAAGTCAATTTCTTTAATTTCATCTCTACAATCTTCATAAACAATTCGTAATCATGGTGAACAGCAAATGAATATGAATATCTTCTGCTATAAAACTTACAGGCTGATGCAGATGGCAATGGGACAATAGATTATGACGAATTCATCACAGCCACAATGCATATGAACAGAATGGATAGAGAAGAGCATCTATACACTGCCTTCCAACACTTCGACAAAGACAATAGCGGGTAATTAACAATCCTCGATTACCCTATCAATCATTTTAAACCCATGATCTTATTTGTTATTATTATTATTGTTGTACTATGTACGTAGATATATCACGACTGAAGAGTTAGAGCAAGCTCTTCGTGAATTCGGAATGCAAGATGGGAACATCAAGGAAATCATCTCTGAAGTTGATTCTGATAATGTAAATGAAACCAGAAACCAACTTTGATATATTTTTTTTTTTTTTCAAAACACTAAAAAGAATCAGGCCTTACTAAAACAAGCTTTTCATATGAAAAAATTTGCAGGACGGTAGGATCAACTACGATGAGTTCGTGGCAATGATGAAAAAAGGGAATCCAGAAGCTAATCCGAAGAAGCGGCGTGATGTATTTGTTTAACGATGAAGAATTGTTTTCAATGATCAAAGGACGGGAAAATATATTGAAAGGGAAAAAAAAAAAAGAAAACAGAAAGAAAGAAAGGAAGAAAATCATCATCTAATATGACCCTGGTATGGTCTGATAAATGCATTAGCTCCAATGTTTGTGCAGATGTCAGGAGCATCTTATGATCACATGTACATTACACACACACATGCACATATATATATATATACATAAGAGAGAAGTGCAGATTGGGGATGAGAGTATATTTGGGATGCATCACGAAGAGATCTTTGCTCAAGAATTATGATCAGAAAAATTACTAACGTGAGAATTGAGGGTTGTGAAAATTTGATGATTGACTTTTTTTTTTTCTTGGTTTTTTTTTTTTTTTTACCTTTTTCTTGGGCAAGTTTTCTCTCTTCTCCCATTTGAAATGGTAAAAAATCAGTACAGAATTAAGAGTTGGTTTGGCTCACTAATGATTTAGGATTGTGAATTGGGTGTTTCTTGTTGTATTTATTGAGTGATCTTCCCAATTTTAGGTATGTGCTAATTACTATTCTTTTATAATTAACTGACAGTACAGAAGACTTTGTTCTTGTATCTGCATTTCTTTAATTTTAAGTTTTTTGGTATGTATATATATATATATATATATATATATATATATATGCATGTGTGCTTCTAATCAAGGTGCTATAGTGTATATATGTGTGTATCATGCGCCAAGAATATCATATATTTAAAAATTATATATGAATAGAATTGTAAGTTTGGACAATTCATGACATTAATGTTTTATTCATACAATTAAATTATTAACTTATTTGAGTAACAAATTTTTCAAACTTAATATTATTTCAAGATTTTTTTTTTTTTTTTTTGCAATATTATAAGTTGATATAGTATTTTTTATTATTATTATTAGTGGAAAGAGAAAAAAAAAATTGGGTTGATCATATTAATAATGAAAATGAATATATATATATATATATATAATACAAAATGTTTCTCAATACCTTATTTTTTTTTAAAAAAAAAAGAAAAGATCGAATATTGGGTTTCTATATATAATGAATATTGCTTATAAAATAAGAATTAAATGAACTCAAAATAAGATGTAAATATTTTATTCCATATTTATGTTTGATTTGCTTAAATTTAAACAAATTATGAGATCTTATTATTCTTAAAATTTCTTCGGATCATTGCTACTTGACCCGGAACTATTCTAAAAACAAAAGACGATTCATTAGATTTCGTTTCTTTAATCTTTTTATTTTACGTGTCTATACATATTTACGTTTTATTGTTTTTAAAAAAATAATAATAAACCATTTTGAATTAAATTTTTTAAACCAAATAATACTTCAAAAATTAAAATAACAATTTATCTTTAATTTCTATTATATTTTCAAATTAGGTTATTTTTTTCATAGTTTAAATAATAATTTACAAAAAAAAAAATCAATCTTTTAGGTCAAGATTTAATAATGAAATAATATGTGGCCAAACCAAGGACTAAATTTTGTAATAAATTCAAAATTTTATTTCTCAAACGCTAATTACAACAATTAAATACAAATGATCAAAGCTAGATATCAGATCCTCGTTCTCATTTGAATTAACCCTAAATTCTACATGCAAACCACTTTACTTGAAGAACAACTTCACATAAATAACAAACAAATTCTAACAACAATGGCAGCAATAATCAAAGCCTGAGTGTTAAATCAAGCTCTTCATGAGTTTCACATTTCCCTCTTCCTTCATCCCCAGAAAGTTCTTTTACGAGATCAGTTGCAGAAGAGTTACAGCGATTATCATCTCCTCTTTGAGTAAACTGGCATGGAAAAAAGTCAATAGCTTCTCTTTGACTACCGGGGACACTGCCGGTATTTCCAAAGTTTTGCCGTGCAGGGATAAAGACACCTCCGTGCACCGTCATCACTCTCTCATTACCCACTAGGAATACAGGCACATGACCGGTTTGACTCCCGCCATGGAAGTTCTGTCCATGTCTATAGCCATAGCCGCCTGTGGCTGCACCCGTCAAAGACATCGTCCGATTAGCCCATAAACCCGACGGTTCATTGAGCAACAGAGGCCTCCTGCCGCCGTTAAGGGTCATGTTCGTTTTAGGGTTCTGATAATGGCCTAAGACGGATCCGAATAGCTTCACCGTTTGCTGTTGTTGTTGCTGTAGCACGTTGCGGTTTGACGTGGTGGTTGCAGAGACGTTGGAGGAGAAAAACCCTTCCGACATTGTAGATTGGGGATAGCAAAAACAAAGAGTGTATATATATATATATATAATAGAAAAAGGAGAGGGGAAGAATAATATTTCGTAAAGGGAAAAACGCGGCGATCTTTAATTACCAAATATAACAAAAACAAATATTGTCAATTTGGATTTTATCACAGTGTCAATCTGATCTGGGATTAACCCGTTTATATATATATATATATATACACACACACACACAGAGTTTCTTTGGGAAAGTGTGTGTATATATATAGTTATAATATTAATTGTTCATAGGATTAATATGTTTACCATATTTATGGTAATAAAATCCAAATTTCAATCTTTTTTTCTTTTTGTTACAAAGGGGAAGAAACAAGCGCAATCGCACGGAGAAATACTCTAATGAAATTCTCTCTTATAATATTCGGTAAATCTTAATTTATTAAGTAGTTAGTAAACATATTGTATTTTGATATTTAAATCTTTTATAAGTTAAGATTTAAAAATTAGAATCATGTTAAAATTAGTATTGATAGAAATTTTAATTTTTTGAATAGTAAAAAGTATACAAATTATTTTAGAAGGTAAAAAATTAAGCATTTTGGTTGTTGCCATATTTTTTAAAATTTAAATTTGGGTATAAACATTGATTCGTAATTTTGTGCTAATTAGGTATGAATTATCATTATTATCTATACTATTCTTGTTAAATTTAAAGTTGCAATATTTAACACGAAACTAAAATTAATATTACCATAAATTAAAATAAACTTAAGAAGAAAATTTCCAACTTACAAAT